GCTAACACACAAGAGAGTGAGCTGTACTGCTTGGGAGAATCGGCAGAAGCTTCCGGAGATCTGTGAGATGGATTCTAAAGGTTCCACAGTTAAAGGAGTTTCCAAGGAGAGGGAGAAGCATGTGCAAAAGCCCTAAGAGAACTTGGCACGTTTGGGAAATGATATGAAGTGATGCAAGATCGAAGTATAGAACACTTATAGGAATTGGGCCAATGAAGAGGGAAACAGGTAAGGGGGAAGGGCAGGAGGCCCTCAGCCTCTACTAAGGAGTTTAAACTTCACCCTCGGTACCACAGACAACTGCAAAATAGATGAAACTGGTGAATATAATATTTAAGCAATGACGGCTAGTATTACACACTTTTAAATGTAGCTTTTCAGTGACTCATTATCTTTATTTTCATATGTATCAAAACTTAGTTTATGTACCTTTAGGAAGTATTAACAGCCAATAAAATGAGAAGACTCAGCTGAGTCCCTGCCTCTTGCACTCCATTTAAAACACAATCTATCTGGGGCGCCTGGGTGGCTTAGTTGGTTAAGCGTCCGGCTTTCGCTTGGGTCATGATCTCGCGGTTCGTGGGTTTGAGCCCCGCATCGGGCTCTGTGCTGACTGCCAGCTCAGAGCCTGGAGCCTGTTTCAGTCTGTGACTCCTTCTCTCTCTGACCCTCCCCTGCTCACGCTGTCTCTCTCTCTCTCTCTCTCCTAGAAATAAATTAAAAAAAAATTTTAAAAATAAATAAATAAATAAAACACAATCTATCCTTCCTGCAGAATTATTTCAGGGTCTCTGTGACCAGTGAGTGAAGTAGCATGACACGAGTCAATGCTCGGATGGATGGCAGCATGTTAAGTGAGGTGTTTCAGCTTTCCTGTAGCTTTTAATTCTCCAGATTTTGTCAGTTTTTCTCAAATGTATTTTGCCTTATTTACTAAATGAAAATTTCCAGTGGCTGAGAAAAAATATATAAGGTTTATGTACAGCATGTCAAAAATTATACCCAGAGCTCCAGAAATGCCCACAGGACCTTCAGAGAGAAATATGGTTCTATTGTCCCCCACAACCATTTGTTATGCTGACCCCTTGCCCAGCAACATACCCCTCTCCCACCCACTCTGAGAATCTACAGTCTGTTCTAGAATTTACATGGAAGTCTACATCACATAGATGGGTATTGCTGGTTATAACTAGCATTGCATTTTTGGTAAAGATTAACTTCAGAATAAAAAGCAGAATAAAATTTAAAAACCTCTCTGCGTGGAGTGCCTAGGTGGCTCAGTCGATCGAGGGTCTGACTTCAGTTCAGGTCCTGATCTCACGGTTCAAAGATTAGGACTCCTCATCAGGCTCTGTGCTAACAGCTCAGAGCCTGGAGCCTGCTTCGGATTCTGTGTCTCCCTCTCTCTCTGCCCCTCCTCTACTTGCTCTCTCCCTCCCTCTTTCTCTCTCTCTGTCTCTCTCTCTCTCTCTCCCTCCCCCACCCTGTTTCTCTGTCTCTCAAAAAGTAAACATTAAAAATTTTTTAAATAAAAAAATAAAAACCTCTATGTACAATATGAGTGCTTATTTGAGCGCAGCCTTATTTCCTTTTCAGTCCAAATCATTTTTTAAAAAGTTTTCAATGTTTTATTTATTTCTGAGAGAGAGAGAGAGAGAGAGAGAGAGAGGCAGCATGAGCAGGGGAGGGTCAAAGAGAGAAGGAGATACAGAATCCAAAGCAGGCTCCAGGCTCTGAGCTATCAGCACAGAGCCCGACGCAGGGCTCGAACCCATGAACCGTGAGATCATGACCTGAGCCAAAGTCAGATGCTTAACCAGCTGAGCCACCCAGGCACTCCCAAATCATTTTTAAAAATCATATTTAATGCTACTGATTTGTATATTAAAAATGCTTAAAATGGAAAATTTTATGTTATTTCTGTTTTTCCACAATAAAAAAATTGTCAACGTTAAAAAAAAAAAAGATAGGAAAAGAAATGAGTGTCACATTCATGCTGCTTCTTCAAGGCAGACATTGTCCATGCCTTGGAAACCAAGGAAGGTAAGATCCATCTGGGTACTTGACCTAATTTAGAGCTGGTGGCAAAGTGTCTTCAGTTGGGTTAGAAGCTCTATAGCATTCAATCTCCTTTTAAAGGAAAGAAACCTTCAAGCTTGATGGACTTGAAAGAAATGTCACCTTTTTAGAACAGAAAAAGAATGTATGAAAGTTTCCCATTGAAAATAAAGATGCGAACTGGAATATTTATGGACAGGGAGCAAGGAGCCACACATCATCAACCTGTTTAGCTCATGCACATCAGAATGGGAAGACATTTGCTTGCATTCCTATGCCACTGAAGACAAGTTTCTTAAATTCCTATTTCTTTTATGGTGGTGTGTTTCATTTTGTCTCTATGGCTACTGTTCTAAAGTAAGTTAACTGTACGAGTATAAACTGGGATCTGCATATGTTCTAGCCCCATACTCTTTGGTCAACCTGACAACTTGAATGGATCGATCTTCTAAAAGTGGAAAATTATTCCCACAAAATTCCTATCTTGTGAGAAACTGTCCCTTCTGAAAACACTTTCTATTCTTGATAAGAACTAAAATCCTGTTTTCACTCATATGTGGAACAGGAGAAACTTAACAGAGGACTATCGGGGAGGGGAAGGGGAAAAAATAGTTAAGGAGAGGGAGGGAGGGAGGCAAACCATGAGACTCTTAAATACTGAGAACAAACTGAGGGCTGATGGGGTGGGGAAAGGGGAAGGGGGGTGATGGTCATGGAAGAGGGCCCTTGTTGGGATGAACACTGGGTGTTATATGGAAACCCAACTTGACAATAAACTGTATATTTAAAAAAAAAAGAACTAAAATCCCTTCCTACCTGAAGGCATGTTAATTAAATTTCAAAGATTATTATGTCAAGGGAGAATAACACAAATCAACCTGGGAATCTGCTTTTCTCAAATACATTGAGAGCCTGTATTTCTTTAGAATTGATCTGTATACTTCCCTCTACTCTGTACACAGAGTTTTATTCTCCCCGGGTCCTTCTTGACATCTTTTTCCATAGTGCCTTGAAGCTTTTCTCATCCAGTTATGCAAGAAACTATATTTGAATTATGTTCAAATAAGCATTAGGGAGACTGGCATCTTCTGTAGAAAACATATGGGCTATCAGAAGTGATGTCCTGAATTCTTGCCTCATCATGACATTACTTTAATGAAGGCACCATTTCTTATATGTGATAAACAATATGGTGTCGAATAGATTTGTATAAAGTGCCTAAAATTAAGCAAGCACAAGTACATGAGTTAGTATCATATTATCATGAAGCACTACACTTGATAATTTAAAAACAAATGAAAACTCAGCCCACTGCCTTCATTGTAACTGTCAGTTGCAGAGTTTTACTTCAGATTCTACTGGTCATGATTTTACCCTCTTCTGCGTTGGATCATTATCTTATCTAGAAAACCCCAAGCCCATTTCTTCATCCATACATGAAACCTTAGATTCTCTTAATGACCCAACAGAGTTTTGGATAGTTAACTACCCTACTGTTACTTGTCTTGTTTAGAAGAAATGAAAGTTAAGACTGTGGCAGGAAAGGACAAGCTGTCAACCCATTCAATAAATTCCTGCTGAAAAGTAACTAAATGCACTGAGTATTAACATAATTTACTAGAACAATTAGAACACATCCTTGTTGTCTTTTAATTAGATTATTTCTTGTTCTGGTAATTACACTAGACAAGGAAGAATAATAGTTTCAGGATTCTAAGATCATCTGTAGACTACGTGGAAAGAGAATGATCAATAATGCTAATCTGCTAGAACACTTACATTTCCAGAAAGAGATCTTTTATCATGAGCAATCCTTTGTATAATCAGCATTATTTCTCAATGTCTATGATCATCTTTCCCCAAGTTTAAAAGTAAAGATGTTAGACAAACAACATTTATTCCATTGTTGAAAACCCGGGCAGGCTGGGCCACCTCTGGCCTCTACTAGCTCAGACATTGCTTCACTCTCTTGCAAAATGCCAACAAATAACCACAAATGAAGGATTTAAGATTCCATGCAGAGCAGCACGGCCAGAAGTCTGAATATCTAACAGGGAGAAAACAAGATTTTTAAGTTCTCCTAGGAGAGGAGTCATAAACCTCTTCAATTTAAAAATACATTGAAATAGATGAAAATTTCTTACAAATGCGAGTTAATCTGAACATAAAACTGGTGGCATTTCCATACATGAGGATATTATTTGCAGAAATTAATGTGGAGGTGTCTGTATGACAGGGAATATAGCTGGGCTTGCAGAAGTGGGCTTTACATGTGAGTTGTATTACTATCTCTGGTTTTAAAAGTTTTAGGAACCACAGAGAATTCAAATGCTCCAAGGTTCCCCTCATGCCCTATGCAACTATCACCAAGCATGCTAGGAAATCCTAGACAGCAGCCGCCAAGGCTTCAAGGATTCAGGCTCTTTCCAAAAAGTCAGGAGTTGTCATATGCTGTCATCTAGGATAGCCCTAGAGTTGAGGGGATGGTGCCGGGATACACAAAGTTGACACCCGTGAATCTGAAGGTCTCTGTAATAAGGGGCAACACCAACATCCCACCAGCAGCCTGGATTACAGGAATCTCAGCCCCAATGTTGACCGAGTCTGTCTTAGTCAATGCAAAGGCATAATGAGACCATGTCTAGACAGTATTGATCTCCCACCAGAGAAAAAATAAAATAATTCAGAGTGTGACTTCTCTTCTAGCTTGGCCCAAATAACACCCAAATCAGGCTTTTTCATTCATACATTGCTAACATTCCCCCTAACCAACATCATTTTATCAACAAGGCAGTCAATGACACACATAAGCTTCTTTTCAAGGTATAGATGAAATTTTTGATATTCGAAAAGTCTTTCATATTCAAATAGCAAATGAGAAAGTTGCTTAAACCTATTAAAAATCTAGAGAAATTCAATGAGTTTATACGTGTCTTTTTTACCTTGCCAGGCAAAGGAGAGAAGTGTTTGAAAAAATGAGCGTCCACACAACCTGAAAGAAAGAAAACTCAAATTAACATGGGCAAAATATCTAAAGAAGTCATTAGCTTAAGTCATCTGAATGATTTTCCATACAGTCTGGTAATTTTGGATCAGAGGAACATCCCTATAACTCCGGTGTCCATTCCAGCTTGGAAGACATGTTTCCCCATGGATGTACCTCTTTAACTTGTCAGGGGTGCTACTAAGAACTTAAGGTTCCCCACTACTCTGGTCTCCAGACTAGAGAAATCTATGGGGCAGAATAGGATTTTAGAGGTACCAGAGATCTGTATTTGAGTGCCCTGTGGTCAAGCATTCCAAAGGCAGGCTGAGCAATGACTCTGCCCCCAAAAAGTCCAGGAGAAAGGAAATGTGGTTTAAAAGACTAGTAGGAATGGAGTTAAAAAGGTCCCCAGGCAGTGTGATAGCAAGTTAGGATTGGAAACCTCCAGCTATAAAGGGGAACCAGAGAGAATTATCTCTGACCTGGGGGCTGAACTGAAACCGTGACTCTGAGGTATTCAGGTGATGCCATGGAGAAAAATGCCTTACAAGGTGGGGGCTTGCTTTATTGAAGGAAAGTGAAACAACCATTTCATTATTTTAAAATAGCATCAAGGTACAAATCTATCCAATAGAAGAATGTTAAATAAAAACATAGTCCAGAGAGATACTTCTACCATTATAAATAGTTCCTTATAAATGCCACCCAGGGACAAAATGATCATTTCTGTGTTCCTAACCAAAATAGCTCTGCAAGTCTGGGAAATACCTTGCCCTCTAAAGCAACCAGGAAGAAGTCCCTTCAGTCTACGAGTTCTTGTCCTTGAACCTTTTGAGGATTCACTCCCCAAATTGAAACTCAAGAGACCAACATAATAAGAGCTAGATAACTAGATGACTATGGATAACTAGAAACCTTATCTATTGATAGCAGAGACTACTTCCCTAACTGGTCTGTCTATAACTTCTTGCAAGCTTAATAAAACTCCTACACTTGTCTGAAATGAAATAAAGGGAAACCAATAAAGAATTTCCTTTTCTCTCTGTTAACAAAAAAACATAACCATTCCATGAAAAGCAAGAAAGACACAGAATTCATCCTTCTTTTCTCATCCAAGGAAGGTAATATTATGAGGGTTCTAATTTAGAATACACCACTATAGCAGATTTCTAGGACATAAAGTTAAGTTTATAGTCTACCTCAATCCTAACACCCTGGGGTTAAAGTAAGTATGTCTGTAACACCTCTCTAGTTATCAAGAGGGAATGATAGTGGCAAAATAAATAAGTAAATAAAACTTGGATACACATTTAAAAGAGCTGCTTACTTCAAGATAAGGCAATAACAGTGGTCATTTAGGATGATTTGTTGAAGAATCTTAACTCTCTTTAACAAAAAAATGGATACTAGCAAATACCTTAAAAAAACACATACACACAAAGATATGCTGTAACATTTGGGAGACTGTTATCTAACCATTCTGATTTGGCTACATGTTCAATTAGCCAAGCATAATAGGAAAAAATTTCTCTATTGATTAGGTAGTCAATTTAAAATATTCATGAATTTAGTTGAAGCATAAGTAGCAAGTTCCGGAAAGAAGAAATAAATCACACGTATCCACAAAGAGGAATGAGTGTGTTTCATGCAATCTTGGGGAATAGATTTTATAAGGCACTTCATAAAACCACTGACTCCAGAGAAGGAAAAAAACCCTACACATATTAACCCAGAGCATTCTTATTCCTGCATTCACAGCAAGAGCCCAAAAATAAAACGTATTTCCTAATACTGCCTCAGAATGTGATTCAATGCATTGTCTATTTAAATAAGTATTTTCTGCCACTTAAAGTCATGTGATAATTTTTTCCCAATGACTAACCAAATATGCCTATTATTTCAATCAGTTATTTCATTTTTAATTTTTTTATATTTATTTATTTTTGAGGGACAGAGAGAGAGAATGTGAGCAAGGCAGGTCGGGCAGAGACAGAAAGAGGAAGACAGAATCTGAAGCAGGCTCCAGACTCTGAGCTGTAAGCACAGAGCCTGACACAGAGCTCGAACTTCATGAACCATGAGATCATGACTTGAGCCGAAGTCGGACACTTAACCGACTGAGCCACCCAGGTGTCCGTCAATCAGTTCTTTCTTAAAGGTGAAAAAGAAGACAAGGGGATAGGTCTTAGGTGCCATCCTCTCTTGTAAAAATCACACTTCAGCTTTTACTTTTCAAAAGTGACTAATCATACCTCTGAGTATCTTCCAAACATGGCTGAAATTTTCCTGAATCTTACAAAATCAGTGCAAGAGCTGGGAAATGTCTTTCCAGGATGAATTTCTGGAAATTCATTCATTCCTTTCCAGGAGGAAAGGAAATTGTGCAATTTCTCTTAATTTGTTTCTGAATTCAGCTCAGTCTTCATTAGTGCTACATAGGTGCCTTATTACTCAGTGCTCTCAGTGACTCCTGATCATTTTTCCCTGAAGGTGCATATTTGTTCACTAACTATATTAGAATTTTGTGATCTGCTGGATTTTCTCTAATATTCCACTCTACATCTGTCCTATATTAATGAATTCCATTCTTCTTGGCTTTGACTTCTCCTGTTTATTAAATTCACTTTGACCATGGAGTTTATTTTCAAAGGAATTAATAATTCTTTATTTTCAGCTTGGTATTAGCAATAAATTCAATAAGCATTGTATTTAATCAATTTTTTAAGTGTACTAAAGACAAATTTAGTTAGAATGTTAGTGTCCCAAACCTTCCACTCCTCCAGAAAAGAAATTTATTTTGCTTGGCCTTACCCTTCACTCCCTTTCTAAGAGAACGATTTATTTTTGTGATGCAGAATTATGTGATTGATAACAAAAGCAGAACTGGAAGATTGGGATGAAAATAAGAGAGAAAAAAGCCTAAGTCTGCAGCCTTAATACACATAGGATAGCTATGAAAGTAAAGGGGTGAAAGAAAGAGCGTACTGACTCCTAAGCAGCGTAAAGTGAAAAGATCACCCAAAAGGGAAGAAGAATGGAAGGTAATTTCAAGGATCATTGCCATGTGTAGGGAACTCAGTGACTCCAACAAACATAATAACATTGGTAGTATAGGAGTCCCAGAAGAAGAAGAGACAGAAAATTTATTTGAGGGAATAATAACTGAAAAATTCCCTAATCCGGACATCCAAATCCAGGAGGCATGAAGAACTCCCATCAAAATCAAAGAAAAGCAGGCCAACACCAAGGCATATTGTAATTAAATTTGCCAATATAGTGATAAAGAAAAAAAGCTAAAAGAAATGAGACAAAAGAAGTCCTTAACTTACAAGAGGAGACCCATAAGGGTAGCTACATATCTTTCAAAAGAAAGTTGGCAGGTCAGAATGGAGTGGCATGACATATTCAACATGCTGAATGGAGAAAATCTGCAGCCAAGAATACTCTATCCAGCAAGGCTGTCATTCAGACTCGAATGAGAGAAAAAGAGTGTCCCAGACAAACAAAAACTAAAGGAGTCAGTGACCACTAAACCAGTCTTGCAAGAAATATAAAAGGAGACCCTTCGAATGGAAAGGAAAGACCAAAAGTGACAAAGACAAGAAAGTTAACAGAGAAAATCCCCAGAAACAGGGACAAAACAAGAAATAAAATGGCACTAAATACATGTCTATCAATAATTACTCTGAATGTAAATGGACTAAATATCCAGTCAAAAGACATAATGTGTCAGAATGGATAGGAAAAAAAAAAAAAAGAGACCCACTTATATATTGCCTGCAAGAGGCTGATTTTAGACCTAAAGACATCTGTAGATTGAAAGTTGGGGGATGGAAACATTTATCATGCAAATGATGTCAAAAGAAAGCCAGAGTAGCCACATTTACATCAGACAAATTAGATTTTTTTTTAAAAAAAATTTAATGTTTGTATATCTTTGAGAGAGAGAAAGAAAGAGAGATAGAACGTGAGTGGGGGCGGGGCGGCACAGAGACAGAGACAGAATCTGAAGCAGGTTCCAGGCTCTGAGCTGTCATCGCAGAACCCGATGTGGGTCTTGAACTCACAGACTATGAGATCATGACCTGAGCCAAAGTCAGATGCTTAACCAACTGAGCCACCCAAGCACCCCCAGACTAATTAGATTTTAAACCAAAGATTGTTACAAGAGATGAAAAAGGGCACTATACATGATAAAGAGAACAATCAACCAAGAAGATCTAACAATTATAAATATTTATGCCCTCAACATGGAAGTGCCCAAATATATAAAATAATTAATTACAAATATAAAGGAACTAAGTGATAATAACACAATAATAGTAGGAGAGTTTAATACCTCACTTACATCGGTGGACATATCATCTAAGCAGAAGATCAACAAGGAAACAATGGCTTTTAGTGACACACTGGACCAGGTGGACTGAACAGATATATTCAGAACATTCCATCTTAAATCAGCAGAATACACATTCTTTCCAATTGCATATTGGATATTCTCCAGAATAGATCTTATACGAGGGCACAAATCAGGTTCCAGTGAGTACAATAAGACTGAGATCATATCATGCTTATTTTCTGACCACAATGCTATGAAACTTGAAGTCAACCACAAGAAAAAAATGTGGAAAGATCACAAATACATGGAGGTTAAACAACATGCTACCAAACAGTGAATGGGTCAACCAGGAAATTAAAGAGGAAATAAAAAAATACCTGAAAATAAGTGAAAATGATATCATAATGGTCCAAAGGTTTTGGATGCAGCAAAAACAGTGGCACTACAGTGGTACTATAGTACAGTGGTACTATGTACTTCCCTAAGAGGGAAGTATATAATACAGCAATACAGGCCTACCTCAAGAAGCAAGAAAAATCTCAAATAATCTAATCTCACACCTAAAGGATCTAGAAAAAGAACAACTAATGAAATCTAAAGTCAGCAGAGAAGGAAAATAATAAAGAATAGAGCAGAAACAAATGATATATAAACTAAAAACAAAAAC